TAAGACATAATTAAAGTTGTAATGTCTAATCTTGTAATCTGAGAATTAAGATTGTAAATTGTGTTTTGAATTATCTATTCATTTTATAATTTCAGTTTTGAGGAAATTGAATATTTTAATTTTTAATGAAAAATTAAAAACAGTTGAATTAATTAAAGGAGAAATGATACGAAGTAAGATGATTTTATCGACTCATGCACAATTCTTTAAAGAGAACGAAGAAAAAGTCAAAATACTGGAAAGAGTAAATCGCGCAAAGCAGTAGGAAAGTGGATAAAAGGTTGTTTATATTGTTATGATGAAATCGTGATGTCGACCGTACGGTAGTGTTGCGAGAAGCAGGAAAAGCACGCGAGGAGAATGAGAAGGAATGAGAGAGGTCGCGATTAAAATAGCAATGGCTTTGAACCAGGCATGAACCTTCCTTTTCATTTTTAAAATCGAAAATATCCCTGTTACTCTTCGTAAAATATTAAAGCGCAAGACGAAAACAATCTTATCAGACTTTTTTTTTTTTTTTTTTTTTTTTTTAGAAAAAAATGTTTAATATTAGAGAAGATTCATAAAAAGTAAAAATTAATCATTATTAAAAATTGAACAATATTTTTCAATTCAAGACTTAATAAAAAATTTATTAATAATTTACTTTATAAAAAATTTTCTTGGGAGGAGACTATAATGTTACATATTTTATAGGATATTTGTGAAATATGTTTGAGCAAATTAAATATTTTCGGAGTTGACATGAGTTTTCTTTATGTTACATTTGCAAATTTGGATTATTTTTATTACAAAAATCTATTTATTGTATTCACTCTTTTTTTTATCATTTTGATTTCTTGAAATTAATTAATGCCTTTTAGTTAACATGGATCTTATAGACATCAATAGGTAAGTTACAGATGTTAAATGTATCTTAACATTAATTAACACATTTCGAATTCGGTTCTACTTGCTATTTATTGATTTCTTTTGTCTATCGATAGAAGAAATTCAATTATCACGCTGAGAAAAAATAGCCTACATTTAAATATTTATTTGAACACTGCTAAACATTTACTTACAATAAATAAATATTTACTTAATAAAAAGAAATGATTAAATCAAATTAATGTTTTTTGTACCAAATAAAAATATATTTTTATATTTAATAAATATTTAATTGTATACTATTCAAATAAATATTTATTGAAATTTAGGATATATATTTTTTTCTGAATGCATATCTGATTGTCATGTACTTTCACGTAGACTTTGCTTAACATTCTAGTTAACGTGTATCATTATAAAGTATATTAGAGTAGAAACAAATCATCAATTAAATTGAATAGTATCTCTTTCACTTAACAAAAAAATTATAATTTTATTGTATATGAAAATTGTGATTATATTTGCTTGAAATGTTATTTTTATATTGTGTGCGTGTGCGCGCGCGCGCGCGCGCGTGTGTGTGTGTGTGTGTGTATGTGTTGTGCAAAATATTTGACCAAGATTTGTTAATGCATTTTTCTAAATCATCGAATATATTTTAAAACATTGATTCTTCATCAAACACTTTCTTTCCAAATTGTGGATCTTTTAAAAATTCCATCTATATTAATAAAAAGTTTTATCTAATAATTTTTATCTAATAATTATCACGTAGACTTTATTTGCTGTTCTATTTGTGAATTATATATCGTAATAGAATGTCAATATGATTAAATGATAAATAACGATAGCTTCGATAACATTATCTTTTGACGTTAAGTGTATTAATACTATTCATTGTTAATCAATAAATTACATACTTGAAAGTTTATTTCATTGTTCTGGAATTTTTTTTTGGATTTTGATGTATAAGTTTCAATTCTTGTAACTTGAGAAGAACGTGATGATTGTACAATTTTCAATTTTTGTAACTCGAGAGAAATGTGAGAACTATCAAAAGAAATGGATATGAACACATAATTAAATAACTTTTTTTTCTCATAACAATTTTCTTGGTTGATGAGTTTTCTCAGCTATTAGATTAGCAATCGATGTAGTTACCAGTTTTAATGACTATCTGAATCTTGTGACTGTATTTAAATTATTTTCGTATATTTTGTAGCAGTTAAACTCGAATTGTGTCACGAAATTTGTTAGAAAAATCAATCTTAATCTACGTAATTATGTACATAATTTAAATTTAATACAAAAACAGGCTAGTAATCGCTTACAATTTGAAAATTAATAACGCCTACAATATTTTTTTTTAACAAGGAAGAATCGATTTTAAATTCCACCGACTGAAAATTCCACAGTGACTGAAAATTGCAGCGATAACGTCGTACATCTAATTAAAGTTTATTAAAGCGATTATCAATCTGCGTTAACGTGCCATATGAACGCGAACGTGTCGATTCCATTGCTAGATACGTCGCGCGAGAAGAGATTCCGCGAGAGGAGTGCCGCGGGGGTGGGGGTCCTCCCACGAGAGGGGGGGGGACGTCGACGGTGAGGGGTCCGCATTCCACAGACAATGTCACGTTTTTTAATCCCCGTTTTACTTTATTTGCGCTGCCTTCAGCCGCGAGGAAGGCCCAAACAGTTAAAGTTCGACTTTTGTCTCTATATAGAGCGCCTGAATTTGCAACGTGGAAACGCAGACGGGCCAAAGACGACATATCTTTGTCAGAAAAACGACAACGAGGAAGGGGATACCTTCTGTAAAAAGAAGATTTGAAGATCCACGAAGAATTGTAAGGGTGCGCGCGAATTTTGTGTGAGGGTGGCATAAGAGGGAAGGAGAAAAAGAGGAAAAAGAGAAGGAAAGTTTGAACGGACGGAACGAACGAAAGAAGAGATGTCTGCCGTCGAGAGTGCCTTGGACGTCCTTTCCAGAGCAGCGACAATGATGCAAGGTCAGTTTATATTTCTTGGAATTTTATTTCGCGATTTATTTTGCATAGATAAACCAGTTTGATAATAGCTACCTAAAATAGATTTAATCTATATACTAAATATTTGTAAGAATAAAATTACATTTGGTTATATTAAATGTTTTGGTTAATATAATCAAATGTAATTTTATTCTTACAAAAATTTAGTATCATCAAACAGTAAAATTGTAAGGATTATGTTTGATTATATTAATCAAAATATTTGATTAAATCTATTTTAGGTAGTTATTACAAAAATTTTATTTTTGGTATTACCAAGCTTTTTTTCTTCTTGCGAACTTTGACTCTCTCGATAACAAGAGAAATGATAGTATACAATATTTCAAGAAAACTTGATTGAAAAATCATACATTAAATGACAATTATTGTTTTCTAAAATTTTGCAGTAATTTTAGGTTTATATACCAATTATTTAAGTATTCTGAAAGGTAAATGATTAATTACTTTGAGTATTAAAAGTACAACAGTGATTAAAATAAATAGTTAATCACTTAAATTTCTGTAAGGATAATGTTTTTCTTATAAGAACACATAAAAAAAATATAATTCTCCTCTCTCATCTTATCGTTCATCGAATAATGCGAGAGTATTGGTGATTTCGTAAAAAAATTATTTATGTTAAGTTACGTCATCTCAAAACATTAGAAATTCGGAGATTTTATTATTTCCTGATGACTATCTAAACGAGATGTGAAAAAATATATAAAGTGTTTCGAATACATAAAACCTATTCTATAGTATGCATTTTGTTTCCTGTTTCTTGCTTTTTACCTTTTGCTTTTTTTTCCTTTGCAATCGTTTTATCGATTGCAAATATTTATAATTGTATTGCTTGCTACGTATTTCTTGTTTCTTTCGAAGTTCGTTAACTTTTATTCGGGCGACATAAAAATAAAAAACTAGATAAGAAGCAAAAAAACAAGATGTAAAAAATAAGAAAAAGCAAAAAACAGAAAAAGCACATTGTAGAATAGGCTTAAATTTTCGGGCAGTAGTAGAAACGAAAAGCATTTTTTGAATGAATCGTTTCAGTCGGACTCGTTCTATCGTATCGTCATAGAAATTCTTTCACGCTTTTTTCGTGTCTTTTCCATGTCTCACCTATTTAATTTTGCTTTGATCTTTCTCGGGGAAACTCATTTCTTCTATTTTACCGTCAATTTTTCATCCGGAAAATATTAATGTTGTTTGATGGGAATGGAGTATAAAGACATAACTTGACAATGAAATGCAACGCGATCAAATTCTCATGGAATGCACAGACCTCAGAAACGACGACAAAACGACGACTACTCGACGTGTCGTCGGCATTCTTCGCATAATTTGTTCAATAGTCATTCTATATTTCACGCGCGTGCACGACGACATTAACGAAGGCTCGTTCATATGTAAGTTGGATCGCCGTGGGTATCGCTATTATTATCGCGGGCGCCGAGTTATAATGCAACGTGCTATTACCTGACATAAATTCGCGATCGTAACATACTGTCACAAGCCGCGCAATCGTTTTTACATGGAATCGATCGTGTGATCGCGGGTGAGCAATCGCATTCTTTACTTTGTATTCAATTGTCTGCCTTACGAAATCCTCTTAGCAAAATGACCCGAACATTCTGTGCGAATGGTGAAATTAAGAGTGCAGGCGAATACGAGTTTTAATTACAATACAATATTTTTATTAAGTAATTAAATTAATTAAATTAATTATCATTTTAAATTATTGTCTAATCATATAATGTTGACAAGATGAATAGACAAGAAGAATATTCTTAACATGAAATGTCATTTTTATCATTTTTGTTTCATAACTTTTAAAAAATAATTTTATAATCGTAAAATAATTTTATATTCATAGATTTAAAAAAATAATTCTTTGAGTTAAAAAAAAGTAAAAAGAAGGGGAGTCAGCACGATATTTAATATATAAAAATGAAAAAAATACTTTAATTATTTACTTTATTCGCAAATAGACATTCTTTAACTTGTGATAATTTTTTATGAAATTAAATAAATTCACTTTCGATGATTGATAGAGTAATTTACTTAACTTTATTTATGATAATAATTTGAAACTTATGTTTTCCAAGCTGTGTCACTTATGGAGTAAGGGAGTGACAATTATATGTATAAATTATATTTTTTTATATAATTATCATAATTATATAAATATAATATTTTATGTAATATAATATTTTAATTATATAAATATAATTTATATAATATTTTTTGTTATTCTCTCCAATTCGAGATAATATCGATTGTCTTTGAGATTAAAAGAACATTAATTTGATTCGAATTTGTAATTAATTAAAAATAAGATGATCTCTCTTACTTATTCTTCATAAGATGTATTCAACTGAATTCTAGTCGACTTAAGAACACACGCAATACTTGCAAGTGTCACGATTCCATAGGTGCCGTTTATAGTTTCAATTCTACGTATTTGCAGATTGAGTACACGTGTTCAGTTCGATGCGAATCGCGCGCGAATGCATTTGCTGATCTCGAATTTTTTATATTCTTCGGCGGAGCGAACATCTTTCGTTTAGACCGATATGTTTTATCAGGAAGTTAGAATGTGCCATGACTATTTAATCCTCTGTTGCATATACATATTTTATACGGTTCGTATTCTATTTCTCGAATAATGAATGCAGAATGATGCAAATGATGTAAATCATGTGCACGAATAAACGAGCATTGAATTACGATCAGTATAATATCGCAAGTTATATTTAATGCAGTTACAAAAGTATATGTATAAATAATATCACACTACAAAATATGTAAATAAGAATTATTATTAATGCCTCCATTAAATTTAATATTTTACGATTGCATTATCTTGATGCATTTTGAAAATATCTTATATGTGTATACTTTTTTCTGATTTTGTGCACAATGATATCCTATAAAAAGATCAGAATTGCAGGGGAAAATTTTATATATATAAAGGAAGACAGCGCTTTTTTCCCTTTTTTTTTTCTTTTTTTTACATTCAAATCAATTCGAATCAAACTCGATGTATGATACGCGGATCATATGTAGATATCGAAAGGGTTAAAATAAACACACGCTATCAACCATTCGACGCATTCGCGCGTGCATCGCATCGATGCGTCAGTTGCATCGCGCATATACAGGGTCGTACAAAATTATCGCACGTCTTTTTTTCGAGCCGAATTAGTTTAATTCTAAATCCAATCGATGTATTATAGAAATTAAAACAAAACTTTGTGATTCAAACTAATTTAATTTTAAATCCAGTCAATGTAATTTTTATCTTTAAAAATTAGAAAAAGGAAATTCAAGAGAGTTGTTGACTAAAATTGGTCCTCAGTTTAACGACTTTTACTTTCCGTCGTATTTTTATCACCTTAATAACCTCATCTGCAACATGTAAATTTCTCAGAACGTTTTTCTTCATTGACTTTCTTGAAACAAGCCATATATGGGCTACATTCAATTGCTGTTTGCTCTTGAAATTCTTTTATCCTTGTTTATTAAATGTTTAAAAAAGGACAAATGATGCTGATAGATCCTGCGAGTATCAAATGGAACGCATTACGCATCCAGTATATATGTTTTAAAAAAACTGCGAATACTCACGCGTTTTTTAGTTCGACTTGGCTTACAGTGTTTCATTAAAAGGAAAAAGAATATCAAGCGCATTAAGTTCATTTTATCAGGTTCTAAGTGATCAAAGGATATATATGTGAATTTTTGAGTTAATATTCGTAGGTTGGTATTCATAGTCAGATATTATTATATTAAAACCGTCTTAAGTACAGTCTTAAGATGTCATGAACCAATTAGAGGGTCGCATTAGCGACTTAAGACATTACTTAAGACGATCTTAAAGTAAGAACCGACTGTGAATACCGGCCATAATCAGTTTTTATACTTAAGACAGTTCTTAAGTACACTCTTGAGATATCATAAGGTCGGTATTCATAGTTCATTCTTATAAGTTTTCTACAATAAGCTATTATCTAAGTTTAAAGTATTAAGTTGTAAGAAATTAACCAATCGCAATCGAATGTGAGAAGAATAATTGATCTTGTTTCTCGCAGCTTGAGACTTAAAGCTTAGGTAATGACTTATTGAAGCCCGTTATATTTGAAACTGTCTTAAGTATAAACTAAGAACAGTATTCCTAGTCTTATTCTTATGTTAAGATCATCTTAAGTATTGTCTTAAGATGCTAACACAATAATCTGATTGGCTTATGACATCTTAAGACTATTCTTATGTCATAAGGTAATCAGAAGGCTGTATTAGCATCTTAAGACAATACTTAAGATGATCTTAACATAAGAATAAAGGAATATTGTCTTTAGTCTTTGCACACCCAGTATATCGTGTATCTACCTGGTAAAAAGGGAAAGAGAGAAAGAGATAGAGAGGGAGAGGTTGAAAGAAAGAGAAAGCGAGAAAAGAGACGAGTTGGCTTCCAGCCGAGCGCGCTTATAGTACCTTATAAATACACGCTTAATTCTCGTCGTATCCATGCAGGATATCCTCGGTGTACAACGCTTGCACGGATGCCAGCATTGCGCGTGTATGCGTGTGTACGTGTAAAAAGCAACCTCCTTCGATCCCACGTGTTGCACGGGGAGAAGGGTGGCGGCGGATGGCGGAGTCGAGGCGGCGGATGAATGAATGAATCTTAAGACAGTCGTGAGTGGCGCATTCACGAAACCGCGAGTGCGCCTTTGAGGGACGAGCTTTTTTTTTTTACTGGACCTCGCGGCTTCTCTCCTCGCGTCGTCGCCATTTTCATCCTCGTCGCCGTCGTTCCTCCGCATTGTGCGCATCTCGCAATTGCGTTAAATGTTTCGTTATAAGTGTCGGGTGTTTTTCTGTGCCGCTTAATTTGTTTTCCACATCTCGTCATTTTCGAATTTCCTCGTTTTGTCGCATCTTCCCCTTTTTTCCCCTTGATTCCTGAGTTCTTTCGATTCTCCAGCTCCATGGCGATTCCGCAATCTTTTCTCTGATGTGTCGATTGTCTTACGTCGTTAACGTGATTGTCTGCCCACGATCGAAAGAAACAATAATGTAATGATTCTCAGAAGTAACTGTGACACTAAAACAGAAAAAATGCCCGGGAAAACAATTTTGAAAAGAAGAGAGATTACACAGTTCTTTCTCTGCAGGAACGAATCTTCACGAGAGTGAAATTTTAAATGGAATTAGCGCGCAGATTCTTCATTTCGAGGATGAAAATAAGTGTGTCGAAAGTAACATTTAAGAATAGTTTTTAATTATTTAATGATTATTTAAGTATTATATCGTCGGTCAAAAGATAGACGCGTATATCGTTTGCGAAATTTCGATCGAGATTTGTGCGAGAGTAGAATCGCAATGCATCGCTAATTGTGATTTGTTTGTGAGAAACTTTATAGAACAAGGAATGCTTAGTTCAAGCAGCTTTTAATTATTAGATAATCGTGCATTATCGATGAAGATAACTTGTTTTATCAGAAATATCATTAATTGAATTTTTTTTAACTCTATTTACGCATCTTCGTTATCATTTGTTTCAATTGTGCGCGTTATTACATTGTGTGATGAGTATTTTAATCGGAAACTATACATACATCATTGTAAAAATTAGTCTAAATTGTGCTGTAATATTATTGAACGTGAAGAACATGTGGTGATAGACTGAATCCTCGCAGAAAGAAATATAGTGCGTTTAGGAATGAACTAAATTTTCGACTTGCTCAGGTATTCTGTACCTATCTCATAAGAGAGCACGATCCTGCAGTTTAACTTGGCCATTAATGCTCCTAAGATCAATAAAATGGAGCTCCCATGCAAGAGGAGGCATCTCTGGCAGCCGTGGCTTAATGTCGATAGCCTCCGACTGCCTTGCAAACCGGAAGGTATGTCATTTTGTAAAGCGCGGTGAAAAAAACTAAATGGGTGGAGCCAAATAGAAAACGAATAAGAAAAGCTTATTATAAAAAAATTTGAATTTTGAATTCTAAAATTAAAATTTCTTAGTGAAAACAAATTACAATGTTTTTTTTGCGTCGTTAATCGGATTTGTTTGACAGAAATAGTATACAGCGATACTTCAAAATGTTTATGCCTACAATTTACAGTCGATTTTTGTTAACGCAAGATGTAAATTAACTTGAATAGTTTTCGAGTTGAAAGGAATGCCATTCGTTCAGAGTGACAGATACTTTAGGTATGCATTAGTACATACGTTACATTCCAGAAATATAAATAATAATACAAATATTCTACTTAAAATGGATTTTATCAATGAAAAATTTTGTTGAAATCTCAGAATGTAAATACATATATCTTATTACTATTTGACTTGGTATCTAATGGTATATTTACTGAAAGAAAAATATTTGGTATTTGTGGTATTTGTGGTATTTGTGGTATTTGTGATTAAGATTGCATGATAAAATAATTGATGAATGATTAGGAGCTCCATTTTTTTATAATTATTACTAGTATAATGTTAGTAATAATAATTATTTTTATGGTTTTACCAATAATAATATAATTGATACTGAAAATGACTATAAAGTATGGTAATTGCAATAATTTTTTTCTCTCAGTGTATTGAAATTATAGACTTATCCACGTCTTTCATCCTACATTGATCAATTTGAAAATTAAAATATTAAAATAATGCAGCAATTTCCGCCGACATTTTCTCTAAATAAGGATTCCCGCAAATTAATTCCAAATATTTTAAGATTAAAATTTTGATAATAATTGCCGTCGCACATCGCATTTTTCGGAATTGTTTTAAGATTCGCAAATTTACGCAAATAATTTTATGACATATTCCCCCGTTTGGAGAACGACTCGTCGACTCTTCAGTTTTCTATTTTAGTGTTTGATTTTACCTTTGGCAATTACAAGATAATGCTATAAATAATAAAGTATTATTAATAAAATATGCGTTAATAAATTATGTAATTAAAGATATATGTCGAACGTCAAGCGATGTCGTAAGAGTGCTTTGTTCCTCTCATCAAATTTTGTTTTACGGACTAAAGAAGACTTTCGGTTTTCCTGATTCCTTATCTGCTGGATTGGTTCAACAGCGAAAATGTCGAATTGCCCTATGATTTGGAGTCATAAAGGGACGAGACTCATGTGCGCGTTCGTTAATTATCAGCAGCACATATCGAGAAGTTAACTGACTCTTGAGGCAACCCTCCCGTCCCGCTTCCGTTCATCTCGACGGTCCATTCATCTTTTCCCTGCGATACACGTCTCTCTAAACCAGTTTCGCCATCTTGACGATCCTCTCACGGCTATTAGGCACTTCCTGCCCATCCTGAGAACCGAACTTGTTTTTACTACTCTCTTCCTTCGTCCTTCGTTGTCCTCTTTCTCATCCTCCTTTTCGCTCTTTCTCGATCGATCGTAAAGGGTTGTCTCGCGTTTGACTGACTTTCCAATTTTAGATATCTCGCTGCACAGAAATAGAGACGACCCTCGCGATTTCCGATAGATTTCGATCAATAACGCTACTCATCGTGAAGTGTAGTAAATAGATGTAAAAGAGGAATTCTAGATATATGTGCTAGCTTACTACACATTACTACACTGAGAAAAAAATATAGTTAATTTTAATAAATATTAGATGTGGGAAAAAGTTCGTGGCGTTTTTCCCATTAGATGGCATTAAAAAAACGCCACGAACTTTTTCCCACACCTAATATTTAGTTCAATACTGCCAACTAAACATTTATTTACAGTAAATAAATACTTGTTCAATAACAAAAATGATTGTTAAATTAAATTAACATTTCTTGTATCAAATAAATATATCTTTATATTTAATAAATATTCAATTGGCAGTATTCAATTAAATATTTATTAAAATTGACTATATTTTTTTCAGTGTAGCGAAAATTGCGGAACATAAACGAAGGTCGGTACAGTATGGTTGATGTATATCAGACTTGCTACTTCCTTTTCATGTATACGAATGCTTTTGCTTATATATTCTCTTATCCAAACGGACAATACCAAACAAAAATATTTACAGCCAATTTAGTCACTTCCTTACGTTTCCCGTTCCTCTCTTTACTCTCCACCGAGGTCCCCACTTTGTGACTGCCGAATAACATTGACATTCCTCGCATTCAGTTTTATAGCCCAACAATGACAGGGAAAACGTTAGTTTTCTTCGGAAGTTCAATGCGTACATTTCGTGTTTAACTCGAAGGCGTAGTTTGTCACTACATATCGCTTAAATTAAAACGAAAAGGTTGGAAGTCCAGGATAAATCTAACTCAGAACGAAACATTAGTAAAGTAGACATCCTCGTTAGCAAATTGAACGTGATCGATATAATAAATAATCAAGATGACGAAGAAAATTCTTCGTGATCTATCTAGATAAGACCTGTCCAATTTGAGCTCCGGGACCAAAAGGCAAAGCCATGCAGATGCAGAAAATTCAATGTGGGTAAGATTTCGGATACTGTAAAATATTGTGTTGATACGCATCTGAGTGACACTTATCAATACTTTACAGTCCCTGAAATCTTACATTCTTTTGCTTCGAAGATTTGGCGTTTTCTGGAGCTGAAATTGGACAAGTCTGATCTAGAATATCTATTTGGACTGATAGAGCCGATCGTTTTTCTCAGAATTTCAATCTCAAAGAATAACGTCGTTTATAACGATGTCTTCGTATTGCAGAGGAGAGATCGAAGGTGACGAATCTGCATCGAAAACCAAGCAGTGCCTGGCGTAAGGACCGTAGGAGAGATCCGATTCAGAGCGAAGCGTTGGACATGTCGAGAACGAATAATCATCACAACAGACCGAGTGTGATCGTTCCTCCTACGACGCAAGTTGGTAAGCAGTCGTTAATAATGATTAATCCCTGAAAAGAAAAAAGATGTAATTAATATCTTTTTGGATATTGATTAATAAAGTGCAAGTCAAAATTTTGACGGAAGACAATTTTTCGTGTTACGTGACTGATGACGAAAAATTTCGATCTTAGAATTTCAGTCTCGAACATGCGAGAAACTTACCATATGTCAAGTTACATAATTCTATACTGCGAATGAATGAAGATTTAATTTCAATTCATGTGAAGAAATAAATATAAAGTTTCAAGGTTGAAAAAACTGATAGATTGACATTTCAATTGAATCCATATTTTCTTTAGTAAGTTATTATTTTTATTAATTTTCATTTAACTTTTCAAAAGAATAAAATAAAGTGATTTGTATGTTTATATTAATGTTGAAATGAAGATATATTGTAATTACGGAACGATTAAATATTGAACATTGTGAAATCCGAATTAATATTTTTAGCAAATGGATAGCGCAATATTCGTTCGCTCGAATTCTAGTATAATGTAAACTAATCGGATTTTAACAATTAAATTTTATCGTTATTACATGACACATTTTATATAAAAAATAAATTTGCTTACTTTAACTAATCTTATCTCTTAGAGTTTCAAACTATTCGAAATATTTTTACCGATTTGGTTCGACTAATAATGGATATTCTGACCGAGTCGTCATTGGGCATTTCCTCTAAGTTCCCATTGTCGTCAGGGGTGTCTGTGTAGGGTGTGTTTTATGACAATGCACCGCCTGCTGCACCGGGATGCTGTACAGATGCGAAGTACTTTTCAATGGAAATACAGTTAATCTCCTGATAGCAAACGTGACATTCCTTATATGTTAACGTTATTTTCCTAAAACATTCATCATCATGTTAGTTATAAATTGAGTTACAAACGGAATTAATGCTGTAACGGATATTCATTTATAATATGATAATAGTGTAAATTTATCATTTATAGAAATTTATTTTTTTATACTAAAAATAATAATGGTTTTATATATCTGATCATGTAAAATATTATTTAAGTAATTAAAACGTCATTAATATTAAATATAACATTATTATTTTATCATTATTTTAATAATGATATCATATTATATTATATTTTTCTCTTTTTCTCTCTCTCTCTTTAATCTAATCGAAAAATCTACTTTGAAGAGAATGTTGAATTTTCTAAATTCTTGTTGAAAATTGCTTAATTTGTTTACATATATATTCATGACTTTTATATTTTTCATTTAAAATCCTTTTTTAAAATTATATCTACTTTTGTAATTTATTAATTTTCATATTACATATAAAATATTACAGTAATTAGCTAAAATATAATTATAATAATGTACCATTATGGCATTTTCATAACGATATAAGATTTCTTTAATCTAATCGCTAAAACGGTGAAAATAACGTTTAATTAGGATTGACGTACAATTATTGAGATATGATAAAAAAACTTATCCATCTTTTTTCAGGTATTACAATCGAGGACTCTGCTATGACATCGACGACGTCTGCCACGGCTTCAGGCGGACAGAGGACCATTATCAGAACGACGGGTGGCGTTTGTGTTAGTGATCCCGCGATCGATGAGCATTTCAAGCGGTCTCTGGGTCCGAAAAAGTACGCGGCCGTCTTCAACGCCACTACTACGGACAAGGAAACTGGTCTGAGTGGTAAATACAGATACAAATATTAAACATATGTTCCGTAAGAGATAAAATAGACATTCTGGATTCAACATGGCCCGGTTTTGGATGATAATATCTTCCATGGTCCAAGCTGGACTAATCTGGATTCAGTCTTGTCTTAGCTTCGTCTTAGTTTGGACCCGTCTTAAGCATTCTTTGCGTAGTTGACGATCACTTTGCAAAAGCACTCGGCGAGACTTGGACAAGGCTTCAGGCAACCAATCGAACTAAGGACTCCACCTAACCACCGGATAGACTTGCCAGAAATCTTGTCATCCTACTTGTCATCGTCCTCGTCGTTGTCCTCATCGTCGTTTGACGATTGTGGTAACTTACTCGGGTGAAATCGTTCCGCTAAATATACATTAATAATAAGTCGTAATCAATAAGAATTAGCTGAATTCGCGACTATATTCGAGGAATCTGCGTCCAAGTAAAACTACAATTAGAGCAGGCCTGTTCAATTTAAGTTTCGAAACCAAAATGCAATACCATCGTAAAAAATTCAATATAAGATTTTAGGAACTATAAACTATTGATAAGCATCACTTAGATGCGAATCGTAAACACTTTACAGTGTAAAGTTTTACCGAAATCTTACATTGAATTTTTTTGCGTCGATGGCTTTGCGTTTTGACTCCAGAGTTCAAATTGAACAGACCTGAATTAGAGGATAAATAAAGGAAATAAACGCACACGTCAGGATACAATTTTATAAAAATGCAAGATCTTCAAATTGGATTTTCGTATTGATTTCGACATTTCAGGAAAAAGCATATAAGTAAATAATTCAAAAATGATAGACTAAGAAATCACTAAGTATCTAGTAGTTCAGATATTAAGTTACATCTTTTACAAATGAATTTCAAATCTAGTTTTTATTTATTATAAATAAATTATTTTCTTATATCCGACTTATATATGTTTCTTTATTCGATTTATATATTTTTTTCTTTTTTATTAAGTGTTGTAAAATCATACACTTATATACTTTTTCCATCTAAATTTTTTCATAGACATTTTGTTTTAATTGGTACGTACTGCGTTCTATAAGGAGGGTATCAAGTGTCCTTGATCTTCTCGCTTTTCAACTGTGCTCGTTGTTGTCGCTTTTTCGTCAAACACGCGTATAAGACATCAAGAGGGTTGGCCTGTATTTTGTACGTTGTTTTTTATACGGGCGAATTTAATATTATTGTATATAGGCACACATATTCCTTTATTATGCCATCGCCACAGTCATTACCGTATAGTTCCGAGTTGTGTATGAATATAAAGTTATTTATTATAATGTTTCATACTTCCTCGCAAAGTATAGTATGTTTATACTTATATATGTGTATGTAATATTTACTTATTGTTAATAAGCGTATAACATTACACTCGTGGAAAATAATGATATGGTCCCTCCTACAAATAGTTTCAATAAAATATCAGCTATTTTTTTTATAATTCGATCATATATAATACAATTCGTCAACTGAATGCTCGATCGCATATCGTGAAATTTTTTCTTTTAAATTAATAACAGAGCTATTAATCACCATGAATAAATTTGACAATTAAAAATAATAATTTATTATTGTAACTATTGCTTCATCACTCATTGCATCTTTATTTTAATCCTGGTTTTTTGTTAATAACAGCAGTTTTGCTGATGTCTAACCTTTTGCAAGCTACTATAGTCTTTTGTATTACATTTTATGTTTATTACTCTGTTAACATGTAGTCTTTTCATAGAGGTTTGCAATAAAGTAAATTAAATTAATTTACACAATCTGTTGTGTATTTAATTCATAAAGCAGAAATGTGTCGCGTGGGCAAAATAATTTAGACAACTGTGACGATTTTAATTCATCCCAACTAGGGGGGGGGGGTCGGATCATTGACCATGGGTGCATATATATTATAATAACGACCGTTATGCCGGAGAAATCTCCTGGTCAGTGAGACTTACGGGAAGCGAGTAGACACAACTACATAATTTAACAAAGCAGAGCACCACGTTAGTGAATCGAATAAATATCATGTAAGTGTCACATCTTTGAGCCACGGTGTTGCTCAAAGCTGTAAAGAGAAAAATAATCGAAAATATGTACAGGCAAACGATGATTACAATGATGTATGAAGAAGATTAAAGGGAAAAGATGTTTAATTATTTTCGTGCGTTAATTTCTATCCTATCTTTCTCGATTCCTCGGTGGGACAAATGCACCCGCAAAGAACGATCCTGTTTTGCTCCGCACCCTAATTGCCGAATGCTAAGAAGAGTAGTACTGATTTCTAATGGTGCTAGGAAGTCCAGCACATACCCCAGCACGCACAGAAGTCAGTACCTCTACTTTCTTATATGCGAAAATTCTATTGCTCTCTATCGTTGTAAAGTGCGTTGCGTAAATTAATAGCGAGTTTTCAAGTAAAATTATCTCGAAAGCCTTACTACGAAGTGATGTTCAGTGCAGATTCAAGTATCTGAAAAACTTTCTCTTTACGATATTGAATGATATCAAATATAATTAATATAACCAATTGTTTGGTTTTTTTATAAATTTTATTACTAAATAATAATTATTAAATACTTAAAAAAATAAAATTATTTTTGATTACATTAATATAATCGAACTTTTGATTGAAATTATTTCACTTATCATTTAGTAACTATTCTTTTTTCACATTACACTGCATTGAACAATTCTTGAAACTTATTTTGTGTCTTCGAATGCGAAGAAATTGATTTTGTATAATAGAATGTTTCAATTTCTATTGATTGAATTATCCCTCGTGATGCTATACGTACCTCTTTTCGATATAGTTCAGTAGGTTTTCATCCCGTTTCGGAGATTTCGACCGATTAAGGAAGATGTGATCGGTATCTTTCCAGGCGAATAATGAGAAGAACGAATGGGGATGTATTTCAAGTGTGAGAAAGCGCGATGGTTGGACCCAAATTTACTTCCAGAAATTCACGCTCTTTCCCCTTTGCAATCTAGAACGCGATCAATGGCGAATGGTAATCGTCCCGATATTTCGAGGGAGACTAACGCGAGAGAGCAATGCCGTTGATCTGTCGCGAAACTTTCCCTGGAACGGATGAATGTTGTTATTCGTAGGTGGGCCCAGACAAACGGGACAGACTGTCCCGAGAGTGCTCGGATGGCTTCCTATATGCAGGCGGTCTGTTCACTTGCCGTAAAGCAAAGTGGTAATTTAATATTAGAGCTGAATATAAGTACGGTAATCCCACACCCGAGTCCAAAGTAAGTCTACACCTTGTATCCTCCCCTCCGTATCTCCCGCGCCCTCAGTCATCTCCGGACCCCGTTTCCCTCTTACTCCGGAGTATCTCGAGCGTAATAACGCGACGGGATACTAGATATCGACGCGGTACTCTCTACGCCAAGTGCAAATTGCCACCATCCTCTCAACCTATTGCAGTCTTTCATCCTTGTCTCTCTTCATGTCTGTCTCTTTTCTTCTTTCCCTCCTGTATCTAACAACGGTCTTGTCTTTCGTCACTCGGGATATATACTGTTAATATAATAATTATCAAAAAAATTATAATAATTATCAAGATAATTATACATTGTTGAATTTTAATAAAGTAACTCCGATCTTAGCGCAGTTTATAAAACTGAAATAATATATTTACATTTAATATTATTAAATTATTCAATAAAAAAATTGGTGATTAAATCAAATTAATGATTCTTATAATTAATAAAGTATCTTTATATTTAATAGATAAATATTTAGTTGGCACTATTCAAATTCATTAAATAATTAAAATCGAAATTAGACTATCAAGAATAAATCAGTTAATAGAAGTAATCTCATTTTCGGTCAAAATAGATCTTTGCATTTAATATTATTAAGCACTAAGATTAGAAAATTAACTAAAACTAAGATTACCAACTAAATATTTATCTATTAAATATAAAGATACATTTATTTATTACAGGAACCATTAATTTGATTTAACCATCATTTTTTACTGACTAAATATTTATGTATTGTAAGTAAATATTTAGTACTATTAAGTAAATATTGGTACTATTTTTTTAAATAGATATTTTAAATAGATATTTATTACAATTTAGTATATTTTTTTAAGTGTACATGTGTTATATTATTATTTATTATTGTAACATGACGGTATTCAATTTGAATATTGACCTTCTAAATTAGAATCCGAAGATTTTTTTCAGATTCTTCTGAATAATTAAATTTTTATTACGAGATAAAATTAGTTAGCTTCATGCTAAATCCCCATTATCTTGGAAAATCTTGTATGAATTTAAATTCCGTATATGGGATGAAATCTGGAAGATCGAACCTGCCAATTACGAGTTCATCGCATATGTACAGAGCCATGTGACAACTCTAATAACACACTTTATCCGTGATACATCCTGAGAATGTCCTTGAAATGTTCAAAGGACATACGGACGTCCTCTGGACGTTCCCTGGAGATCTGTGCTGTTAGGGAATCCAACATGATTCATATACAAAACAAATGTACAATAAATGCAGAAATATTAGCATACAATCTGATAATCATCAATCAAAAGACAAAGCTTTATTGCTGCAACTTTTCCTGAAAAATATTTACAAAAAGATTATTTAATTACAAAATTATATATTTATTTAATTGCAACAAGAATTTTATTTTAGTAAATTCGAATAATTGAAATATGGTTTCCTGAAATGGATTGACTATTTTTATTTTCTTTAGTAATAACTTTTCTAATCAATCTTTTATAAAACTGAAGAATATATGAGAATAAAATAAAATAAAATCCAGAAATCAGATCCAAATAATACAAAGTCATGTATCAAAACTTCATTATTTCTTTTTAATTAACGATACTTATATTGTAAATAATAGATCGTAAATGAATCTTGAACTTCTTTTCAAGAATACATCCAGTTTTTGTTTACTTTAGCTTGATCTATTTCGGTACACAAATGAAAAATTTATAAAATGGTAATGTCTATACGATTACATTTACGTGACAAATTGTGCAATTATATTGTAATAAATCCTTGTCTTTTGTTGCAGACAAAGTGAGTTATTACGTTTATCCTTTCATAGTCTTCGCATGGTTTTTAACGAAATGCGAGACAGGTGTTTTCAAAGTATGGCCTTGATACTAAGGCAAACTACATTATCATCTATGCATTTCTTTGTTATAATATTTAAAACGTAGATTTCTTTTAAATATTTTCAAAAAAAAAGTCTTCGTTTTATGTTCATCATGTATATTTATTTTATATTATCAAAGAATTATTTATTAATTGTCTAGAAAGTTAAAGATATTAGAAAAAATTAAATAAAATTTGTTAAGCCATTTTTCGATCGATGAACCGTTTAAACAAAATATTCGAGATAACATTGGCTTCTCAAAATTTTCAACTTTCTTGAATTATAAACTTATCTAAGAAAGGTGAGAGATTATTTCATATTTTCTATTTGTAATTTAAAACTGAACCAAGAAGTGTGAATAAAAAGAATAGACTTTCAAGGAACGCGACATCCCGTATAATTTATAATAATCGAAGCAAGCGTCTCACTTCCGGGGCACGCAGTACAGCTGGAAATGGGCCAATGGATTGTATTGGGGCAGATGCTCGCGTAAAACGCATATTTTCCAACGTGCAGGTGTTACCCGGCATATTGGAAAGGCACATTATTGACCCTAAGGCTGTGAAGCGAATCTGAATTACGTTTTTGTACGCATTTGTACGTCACTGTAGTTCTGTAAACGTTAAATATTAAAACGGAAGAGAACACAGCA